GGATTTCTCGCTGCAAGGGCGTAAGGTGCATGCAGGAAGCTGGAGAGAGGCAGCCCACTCCTCATCAAACGCACGCCTAATGGACACGCGCTGCTCATATCCAATCTGCAGCCGGATGAAAAGCCCTATAGCGTTACACTGTAAAATCAACTCACGGTGTTTGAACACTGGTACAGAGGGGAATCAGTGACATAAATGAAATGCACGCAATACAATCATTTTTAAAATGAGGAATGTTTTTTTAATGCTACCTAAAATAAAAGGATAGATAATTTCTTTGACAATATGACTTCAAATTATGGCTTATATTCACTGTGCTATCATTAAAAGTAGATAAAAAAGCTAAAACATTCGCAGTTGTGAATGACTGTTTTAATTATCGTAGGATTACATTCTCAGCCTAGCTACTGATAGTAGTTATTTGAATAAGTCCTGCACGTAGACGCATAGAGCTTCATTGTGCATTCAAATCACATGAATCATCCATGAATCAAAAATGTGCTGCCAGTCGAAGATTCATCGCCCCTTTGTTGTGTAATTAGGATGAAACGGTGCATTCATGTTCCTGCGACATGAGAAGACTGAGCTCCCCATCTAGACATCCGTGTTTGAATATCATAGAAGCCAAAGGTCCGTAGTGTCGGCGGGGCAGTGAAGTAGCCACCAGCTCCATCTGACCAGCCGATTGAGGAGTATCTATGGGGAGCGCATTTCCACTTTATGGCCATGCACTGAATTAACAAGGCCAGATGTCCCCCCCACATAACATGTGTGACAGTGCCCGCTGATGGGCTCAGCTGCTTTAAGGATGTAAGGACAGAGACAGAAGAACAGAGGAGGGGTAAAGAGATACATTTTCAATTATCCCAATTTCTCACTACCCGCTTGCTCCTAAGGTGTATTTTAATTAAAGATCCCAGCTCACATCCACAACAAATGGACTTCTCAAAGCACCTACGCTGTCCATTTCACCCACAAGCAATGATGATTCTCATGACATCTTTGGCTAATCTATTAGAAATGAGGAACTTGCACAGCGCCATCTATAGGTCACACAGAGGAGCATTATGAAATTAGCCCAGTGTAGGATCAACAAGCACAGATGAGATGTGTCTTGCCTGGGCGAATTAAAGGGGGGGTAGACTGTGTTACCAACAATGCAACAGAAGCCATGACTCCTCATTGATTTTCCGCCAGGCTTTGTGACAAGCCTGGTCTCACGTTTTGGGTTTTGTTGGGGGTCAAAGTGGGAGGGGAAATTAGGTGATAAATGAGGCAAGACTAGATTCATAAGGGAGAAGTGTCATTATCATAAATTCATATTAAATCTTGGGGTATAGTGGACACAATGGGTTTAAGTGCCATTAAATTAATAAGCAAGACTTTATTTATGGAGCACCTTTCGCAGATAAAAAACACAAAGTGCTTTACAGAGTGCAATAGTAAAAGAGTCTACTGCAATTTGAAGGTATAATGTTGACTTTGACCAGTCAGTAACTAATTTATTACTTGTGAAAGATTAAGTAAAAATGAGGCAATGGTCTATTAAATACTAACTGGAAAAAATGATTATCATTTGAAAAGCACTTTTCATCAATAAACTTACACCGAATATTATTACAATTTTAAGGCAGTGTTGGAACATAGAGCACATGAATCATATATTTTGATTGGAAGAGATGTAGTACTACAGGCAGATAATATGCTTAACATTATAAAGTAAAGCTATTCATTTCAATCCACAATTTCCCACTTAATACTAATCCTAATGCAAATCCAGTGTTGTTTATTGGTCTGTTGCCGCATCTGTTTTCATTGCTTTGGTGATTATAATAACAAATAGCTCGTTCCTTTGTAATTACTATGGAATACAGTTGAGTCATTCGCCCCATTGTAACAGATCCCCAGCCCCCAGCAGGCTCGCTCATTACACACAGAATGATGGGGCACGCCAGCACTGCATCAATTACAACTGCATGGCCTTTCTCTGATTCTTAAGGCATTACATCACTGTGCTAAAGCATACGGAGAGCCAGACGCTGTGAAAGAGTTTCTGTACAGCACAGAAATGTGATAGCGTGAAGATGAAAATAGGCATGAGGCGGCGACACATTATATGACAAATGTATTGATACTGGCAAAGGCACGGCTAGTATGTGTTGCAAGAATAGCCTTTTTTACATTCACTGGAGAATTATTGGTGACTAAATACAGAATTTCAGACTAGGTTAAGCCAGTAGCCCTAAGCAGTCATTTTCCATTTAGTTTAGACATACAAAGACAAACTACCCTAAATCCAGATTTAAACAAACTGAATCTTTATTTAGTTGGTGTTACTGCCATGGGCTAAAAGGCACTTATTTTGAGTGTTTTTCAGTCTGGGTAAAAACCACATTATTGAAATTCTACATGGTTTTGCTGATGTTACAAAAGTGATACATTTGCAGTCATGAAATAGACAAAGGTTGGTTAAATCCTTGCGAAACCAAAACAGATTAAATAACGCTTTATCTAATGCCTTTTCAAACAACAAGCACCCAGACAGCCCTTAGAACTTCTCTCGGACACCCCTGTCTCTGTAGTCAGTGTCCGAAACATTTTGATCTGTATTTCACCTCTCGCTCTCCACAGAGGTGACACCCAGAGCTCATTCATGCCCTGAATGTGGACTAGCAGCCTGCTGCTTTACCTTGTCAGCGCTCAAGACTTGTGTTTGTAAAGTGCTGTGACTCAGGCGGCTACTATGCCTCTCCTCCTGCTCGACATGAATCAACAACAACACAGCCGGGCAGATCGGATCACACCGGGGATTTCATTCACCCACAAACACTCGGCTATGACACTGCAAATAGAGAAGGAACAGAAGTGCGCAGACATAATTAAGACTTGGACCACTGGATTCATGACTGATACTGGGGTAGCTACTGCTTAATAGGCAAATACAAAGCCACAGTGCACAACAAGGCAGCCCATTAACAGGCGCAACCACTTCCTCTTTCATTCAATCCACAAGCAGTGAAACTAAATGGATATCCTGACCTCGGAGGAAGTGAGGAAGATGCCATTTTAAAAAGTGCTCTCCAACTACGAGCCATTAAATATGCCAAGACTATAATAGACCTTATGAAAGAAGAACATGGTGTAATGTAGTTTGGCTGTAGACTGTGGTGTAGGGTTTCCAAAGCATGCAAGAATGAAGATTCAACAAATGCAAGGCTTCAAGTCAGCCATTTGTTTCAGTTATCCATTCACAACTCACGTATAAAGTAAATACAGTTTAAATCCATTCAGGGTCATAAGTGATGGTATGCTAATGCTATTCTAGTATAGGTTGTTTTAAAAAGGGACTCTAATGTAACGCATATGCCAGATCAATTTAATTAGATATTAGATGGAGGATAATTCATCTACTTTGTTTGTATATGTTTTAAAATCATGCTACACATACAACACAATATTAATCAATATTATGAGTCAACATTCAAGTTATGGTTTAGTCAGAAGGATTCTTGCTGTACAAGTAGTTCCAGGACTCTTACATTAATTATTGCAAGATGTTCTATGGACACAGTTTGGATGTCAACTTTGCTCTTTTCAACCCATTTCCTCGGCCAGAGCTCAAACATCTTTGGCTTTAACCTCCATGTGAACCAGGAAACCCTTTCAGTTGTATATTATCTTAAAGCTCATCTCGCATTCATTGTTTATGGGGTAAGTAGCTCCTTATGAGGAAACTGTGTAATCCGTTGAGTTGAGGCAGACAGGGCGATGTTTTATGTCAGTTTCCCTGTAACACTATTTCGCACAATGTCATATATCCACATTCCTGTCTGACTTTTAAACTGTATGAATGTCTTTTATGAGCTACGTATTGGTTTGCACTAACACCTATTCATTACATGTGTTACTTGTGCCACGTACCTCCTGCTCTCAAGTGGATTAATCATATCTGAATCATTTAACTGCAGGTCACCTCTAGTTAACACAGGGCTGAGTGGGCACTTGAAAAGTAGCAGTAGAGTGTTATTGTTTTAATGTGGCTTTCATTTTCCTCACTCAATTTGAATCTTTCTTTGTGCGCCTGGAGGATTTGAACTTCTGACTAGAATCACATGCACACTTACTATGACCAATTTTACACCATATTAAATAAACAAGGCCCCCTCCTACTCCTTTTCGGGGTCTACTGGAAAACATTAGATAAGCCGCCTTGCAGACAAATAACTGCAGTTCAAATCCTAATCTGCCCCCCTCTTATAAAACTATCCCACCAGCCAGTCAGCCAGCTCGCCCCCCTGCTTTGCTCTTTTCAACAACAGCCCAGGACCCCCCACCCCTCCCCTCTCTTCTTCCCCACAGTGAGATCCGCATGTGCTCGGGCCAGAGTTCATAGCCTCTGGGGTGCTGAAGGGGGGAAGTCAAGTTAATTTGGTGGTCCTTCAACAGTTTGCAACTCATAGCCAGCCAAACACAAAAACACATTGCCCCAGCCAGATTCTATTAGGACTGTTACCATCTAATAATCAATCTATGACAAAACCCAGGCTTAAAATCCAACAGCTTTGTAATCTTTAGGGGAATCCCACCAGTCTTAAGTGACTCATCAGGATTTGAACTTTTCTCTCCCTCTGCTGTCACAAAGTCTTTCGCCCTTGTTATGATTGATAGCTTGGTGCACTTTTTTTTTCCTTTTTTTTTTTTTTACCATGTTGGACTTCTCGTGTTTGCCCTCGCGTTAAACCTTACAGCCAGTCGTAGTTATAAGTTTCAGGCCAGTGGGGTCACGGGGGTTGTTTGAGGGTCGGTGCACTTTGAGCCAAGTTGGACGACAAAGCAACGAAAACTTTCAAATAACACACACTCATGCAAGCTTTTGGCACTTTACACGTAACAGCAATTCTCCAAATTCCTCCCCTCTCTCTCCCTTTCATTCCCTTCCTCCCTTAACCACAACCATCCTACACTTCTCTTTTTTTCCCTTGTGTGTGTAACTTACTCACCCGCCAGTCTGGTGATTCTTGGGAGTCCCAGAGACCGCTGCAAACAAGTTGAAAAATCCCGTTTGCCCGAGTTGACCCGCAAACTTCCAAATAGAACCCAATCCAACAGCGTGCGTCAAAACATTAAACAAGCAACAATCTTATCCCTTCGCTTTTTTTTTTTTTTTTTTTTTCAAATCGCTGCCTGCACGGACCAGAGGCGAGCACTTGCTTCAACACAAAAGGCGGTTTCACTTTACTGATAGACTCTTCGTATCGTAACACAGCGCGTGAGTTCGTGTAGTCCTCCTCGAAGCGGTTCCGTATTCCCTTTTGGCCGCGGCTATCGAGGTTAGCGTCCGCGTGAAAAAGTGCCTGTTCCGCGGGGTGTTAAGGTAAAAGGAAAGCGTTTACACGGACTGGCTTCCTCTTTTTTCCTGATCCCAACACACACACGCGTTCACGCAGCTGCCTCTCGCTTCCCAATGCGCACACACACCGCTCGTACACACGCTCTCTTCCCCAGTCTCTGTAACCCCCCTCCCTGGTCGTCCTCCTCTCTCCCTCCTCCCCCTCCAGCCTGCTCCTCTTCAGCTGTTCAACAGACGCATCCACATGGCTGACCTAGTCTTTCTTTATCCACATATTACTGAGGGAAGAATTACGCACAACGACCACACACTTCCAATGCGTAAAAAGCGAAGGGGATGGAAGAAAGAACTCTTCCCGTGATAAAAACATGGACTGGATCCAAGTAATCGTCAAAGACAAAAGGGTGAAGGTGGTAGAGGAGGTGGGGGCCGCTGGCTGTGCTGATTGATGGAGGCTCCCGTGGGGAATCGCCGTTTACACAGTATAAAGTGTAGGGAAGGAAGGGCAATGGGTAGCGTAGTGTGACCATCATTACGTCTAGAGTCAATAAAAGCATTAGATAAAAAGTCAACGCTATTTGCCAACTTGTCTCAAAAACCTGGACAGACATTGGATACTTTAAAATTGTATAAAACAGAAAACAAAAACACACGTCTTCCAAATGAGACGTTTAAACAGTAATAATTTTCAGTAAAAAGCAGTATAGACTTGATGGTTTGCAACCATTCATTTCCTTGAGAAAAACGTTTTACAGCTTTGAAAAGGGCCCACAGCATGTAGTACCTAATACTCCACTCCAGGTGTCAAAGTGTCTACTATGAAATTATTACTCGATACAGTTATTTCTGCCTCACCGATGGCTATTATATTCACAAACCAGTTAATATCAAAACACAAGTCAAGTATCTTATTTTTTAACTATAAAGAAATAAAGAAATGCAAATCCATCTATTAAATGTTTACTAACACTGTAGTGTTGATTAGTGTTGGTTAAAACAAACAACCCCTTACCATTTCTTTAGCAGACATATAAATAATATAACATCCTTTACACAGTTTCAAGTGCTGAAAAGGAAGTGTAATTTACAGTTGCTGAGAAAAAGACCATTCTCAGCAACAAGAGCAAATTCAGGAAAGAAAAGCTTATTTGTTACCAACCAATAGCTGAAAGCATTTTAAATGGCACCTTTTTGCTTTATGTATAAAAAGATGCACTTTGCACAGTCTAAAGTGTTTACAATGAGCTGCAATGAGAGGCTATTATCATTATGGTGAATTGATAAACAAAGTGAAGGATATCCTCATTCATATGCCATATCTAAACAGCACTGCTTGTTTTAAAATACTAAATTGTCTGAATCTATACACAGGTCATTGATTTCCTACTGAAAACATTAAGCAGTGCATCTGGCAGAATATACACAAGAGAGAAGAGGCGAGCGAAGGGTCCGGAAAACTGGCGCAGCTCATTTGCATTTTGGGGATAATGAATTAATTAGTCACCCCACCCATTAAAAAGGCAGGAACAAGCAGGGCTGACAATGTGAGTAGACCATTAGTAAAATTCTGAAGGTGAGGGTTAAAAACGGTGCAGCAAATCACATCCATGCTGGTTATGCTGTTGAAACAAAGCCACAATCATAGTATTCTTTGATCACGAAAAGAGCCCCGAAATGCAAATTTGAAGAACAATATGAATATGGTACCGAAACAGTTGTTACCATGGCTTTAGGTAACAGCAGACACATTCAGTTTTGTTGTTCTTCAGAAAACTTTATGAACAGTGAATCAGAATACAAAAACACAAAATAATTGGCCTTATCATGAAATGGAAAAGACAGTGCCCAGACAGACTAGCTCAGGGGTGAATGCTCTTTAGCAACACTATAATACTTCAAAGTGAATACAAATCTATTAAAAAGTGCTCTGCATTATGACACTGCACTACAACAAAAGCTAACTGTATTAAGTTCTAAATTAATAGGACTATTTCCATTTGACCAGGCAGCCTTGACACATTTTCATTGTCTCAAACATGATATTGGATCACTGTCAAAATCCAATTAACTAAGGCAAATAGTGCGCACATTGAGATTTTTTTTTCCGCACTAAAGCCAAACACAGCCAGGAGAGGAACAGCCTGTGAGGGATCAATAGAAATTGAGTTGAGGGCTGGTATTGCAGGGGGTCCCCTCTTCATTGTGCTGCAAAACAAGAACCACGTCGGGCCGTCCTGGTTTGAAAAGCACAAGAGAACATGGGCCGGGGGGTATGGGGGGGTCTCTCAGTACACAACAAAGTGGTTCAAAACCTCTTCCAGCTCCTGAGGCGACTATTCCCTCCTCGTAGTAACACAACACCACAGCTCCTCCCTTATCACACCATGTATACATTTCACAAGGTCAATCTCTATGATATTTACACACATGCACCAGTCTGTCGCCTGCCGTACGCCGCGCAAACACAAGCTGAAGCAGGCATGGTGTGTCTGTGCATTTAGCGATGCATTTTGCCGTTAACCATTTCTGTAATGACAAGCAGTAGTAGAAGCTCATTTATCTCAAACAGCTATTTACACACAACAAGGCTCCCCAGTAATCTGACCGGGATCTTTATGGCTACAGTGGAATTAAAGCCGGTTTGCCCACTGCTAGTTATGGGATGGTGTGGTACTTCTGAAAAGTGTTTTCTGACTTCTTCAAAGAAAAGTGACACGACATCGAGTTGCTGTTTTTCATCAATTCAATTTAACATTTTACCACTAGTTTCCAGAAAAGCTGCCACAACAACAAGCATGAATGAATGGAAAATACACAGGGAAGGTCATCTGGCTAGATTCTATATCAAATAAATATGCAAATCACTGCATGCTGGTAAGGCAGATATTTTGAGGTGATTAAAGACAAAAAGAAACTAAAAGAAATGTGTGTAGTCAAATGTGAACACATGCAGATAGATTTGAATAGTTTATGTAATTTAAGTAAATGACTTTTTATAAACATATCTATCACTTTCTACAAATTGTGGCCACATTGTTTAGTACTACAAAATTACCTTCCCTCAGCACTACAAAGAGAGTTCCATCAGTTTGTACTCTATCATCTGAAAATCTCCCACAACAAAGACAGTGCGTGAGGCTTAAGTTCCCCTCGACAGTTGTGAGTGCTGTGTGCGGTGGATCCTCTGAACTTTAAGGCAGTGGATTGGCTGTGTGGTTGGGGCAGGCAGGCAGCTCCCCTCCCTGTGGCAGATGAGATCCCATTATCAGGCAGACGAGAACTCCACCTCCAGGATTTCACAGCTCCTCTGTTTATCACATGGCTCTGTCAAGTTGGCCACCATTAACCCGTAATGAAAGGAGACAAGCGGCGCAGTTACAAGCAAAGCACTCCACATTCTACAGGCCTAAGCATGTATCTGGGAAGCTGACTGTGTCTATTCGATTTTGTTCGCCTTTCAAACCAGCCATCACAATGCCTTTTCTCTGAGCAGGCTCTTCTTCTCTCACTGAAATCCCAACAGAACAAAAACTTCAATCTCAGAAAATAAAATCAAACAGAAGACAAATGACACTTTTTTGTCAGTGCTTTTGCCTTAAGATTATTACAGGAGATTTGTAGGAGGAGGTGTGTGAGTGGGCCAGGAGCACAATAACGCGACACAAACTCACATTTTAAAATATGCTTCCTTCATCGACATCAAACATAATTAGAACAAGTGTTACTAAACATAAGAGACTGCTCCTGAACTAGAGGCCAGCGCGCCCCCGCCTCCTCCCTCTCTGCCTGACTACTCCATTTATGGTTTATAGGATTCTGTAGCCACTTACGCTCATTAAAAATAAATACTTAACAAAAGCCGGGGCTGACACAGACTGTTTGCTTTAGCCTGGATTTCTCCACAGTGCACAAAAACAAGTCATTCAGGAGGCAGAAGCAGCACACACGGCAGCTCAGAGGAGAGAAAGTGCTCAGCAATACAAATAAGTGAGCCAGTAGTAGCTGAAACAACAGAAAAGTGACATGGATGACTGAGCCAAAGGCAGAGACACACTGGCACTGGCCTCTTAAGCACTCATATCTAGCAAGTTCATTTTATACATTCACCAGGGATGAGCACACAAGGGGGATTGGGAGAGGGAAAAAAGAAGTCATGTAAACCAATAGCAGAGTTAGGTCGTGGCAAGGGTGGGGGTGCACTTCAGAAGCCTTTAACACATGACTAAATCTCAGCTGTGTAACAAGCTAACTGCCCTCACTGCCAAAAAGGGAAACGGATGGACCAGACTAGTCTTTCCACTTCAAAAATATTTGGCTTTGCGAGTACAATCTCCAGAAACCAACAGAGGGTAAACTTTATATTGGTGGAGGACTAAACAGGACTAAAAAAAACTAAGACAAGTAAATATGTCAGCACTAGAGCTTGGTCTACACTAGTGGTTTACACGACTAATGGATCAGTACTGAATAAATACCAAACATCGAGACCATTTTACTCTTTATAGACAGGTACTACAGTCACTTTTCTGTTGTATTAATACAATGCACTAGTTCTTTTCCAGATGGCACTTAAAAGGCAGTGACTCTCTCCCTGACACACGTATTCTATCCACAAAGAACAAAGGCTCTGTGCGACTGCTGCTGCCTCAAGTTACTGCTCCTGATCGCTCCCTTCCTTTTGGGCTGGCAGGCAAGCAGAAAAAGCTGACTTCAAAAATCACTCATTGCCCCTTTTAAGATCCTTTAAGAAAGTGCTTTACAATTTAGGGGTGAATCCAAAGAGAAAATGGCTTCTTGAAACATGACTAATTAAAACTACAGACTTACTGCCTGGAGGGGTCTGAGAAAGAATGGGGGAAGCAATATAGCAATCCCCTCCAATCTGAAGGAAATGACACAACTAAACGTAGTTAACTAAAGGCTGGAGAAGCAGCTTCAAGGTTGAGCTCAAAATGAAACGCTTGAAGGAAAACATAACAACAAAGCAAGAGGTTTGACATTTTAGCTTCATCGAGGTGACACAAAGTAAAGACACTAGCATGCCCTTTGGAGAGAATCCAGACAGACAGCCGGTAATTAAGCAGCTAGTGTGCTAAAGTCTTTATTCGCTATCATTAACAGAGTTGTAAAAATGTGAAGGGGAAGCCA